TTGGCTTCCTCCGTCACTGAAGCAAGCAAGCCTCATGTTCGCTTCAAGCTGCCTGGCTGCTGGCCGCCATCTTGGCTGGCAGTTAATTTGCATATCGCCCTGATTAGCCAATGGGAAGGGTAGCGGATGTACGGCTAATTACCATGTTTCTCTTTTATTAGATAGGATGGTTTTGAGTAGGAAAATAAGCTATTTTCCTGAAAATTTGAATATGTAATTTTAAAACATGCTCTCTATCATACATTGATAAATAATATTTTTCACCAAAAGAATCAATGCATATTCCATTTCATTGTTATCAGAAAATCATTTTTATGTCCACTTTCTGGCTGGAAAATGCCAATTTGTTCAGGTAATTTGTAATTGTTCATAAACTAAGAAAAATGACTATTTTTAAATCATAATAATTGTAGGTAACACTCAGAGGCAGGCATTGTTTTAAGGGCTTCACATATAATGCATTTAATATTCACAGAAAATCAGTTCTTATTATATCTATATTTAATAGCTGAGGAAATGATGCCAGAAAGAGGCTCAGTTGCTTGGCCAAGGATATATAACTATTAAAGAATCAAGTTAAGGTTTTAACTCAGGGTCTTAACAACGTTGTTATCTTAAGTTTAGCACCTCAGGTACCAAGGCAGGCATCTTTCTATATATTTTCACCCTTGTCAGCTCTGTCAGCAATACTTATCATTTGCACCTCCTCAATATCTCTCTTATGTATAGCAATGTTATACTTTGTGCTCTAATTTAAGTTGTCATCATATTTTCCTTGATATTTGCATAATATCTTTAGCACCTTCAATTTACATTTTTTTATAAGCAGATATCAGAAAGACTGTCCTGAGTTGTCCTTATAATCAAAACACTCAACAAACTAAAAATATAAGAAACCTTCTCAACTTGATAAATCAGTGAGTGGTATGATATGTAAATTATATCTCAGTAAAGCCTATGAGCAAATAAAATATACGCTTCTTGAAGTACTGCACCTCAGAATCCCTCAAGGTCTACAAATTGAAATCAAAACACCTGTCCATAAACTGAAAACTCTTGTGATTGTTTATCTTTCTGGATCAATTTATAGTGCATGAACACTAAGCATGCCTGTTACTCCTATATGCCACATATTTTCCCCCTTCATGCCTTCTCTACTGAAGAGATACCTATCTCTGCATCTTCTGTGCAAACCTTCCCAAATATTTAGTTCAGTCTCCTGCTTTATCTGAAAGAGGTAACTCTTTTATTCCACCCAATTGCTCTCTCTCCTCTGAACCTTCACAACAAAATACCTCTCTCACAGCACTGGCCACTTTCTAGCATGGCTGAATCAACTTTACACAAATTCTTTGAGGCCAGGTTCCCTGTGTAATGTGTTTTGTGT